AAAGAAAATAAATGCTCAACGTATTGTTGATATCTCGCGGATTATTTCCTACACGGTGCCAGGTACATAACGTCGGCCCAATAGATACGTCAATAGTAGTTCAAGAAATAATGTTGCGATTTTCTTGCTTAATTGCGTGATGTCACTTGTATATTTTGTCTGCAGTAGTTTTATTAAATATTTTTGTCTTAAGTGGTTGAACGCTCAACTGCTATTGAGTGCCTTAAAGTTCCAATGTCGAGAGATACATTATTCGAACTAACCACTGAAAAGTAAACAACCATACCCATTTTAACAAAATCTGCATTAGGACTGGTACCTCGACTAGCTTCTACGTCTGTTTCAATATGATACGTTCTTGACCATTGTTTGGTTTGATTTAGTTGTAAGCATGCAGGTTGTGTGAACGTTATGAAAAAGCGTTTTACTACATTATAACATAACAAAGTACCTGAATTGACATCTGACTAGAGACATTCAGGTAAAAATGATTGCAAGCCGAATTTCGTCTCAATAGTGAGAAGAGAGTCAATCTAAATGATTTCCAATTTCATATAAAGTACGTTATAGCAGCCACTGGTTGCTAAAAGGATTTACATGACAGAGGCAAAACTGGCTATTTGTCAATCTCAGAAGCAGCCAATACTATGGAAAGTGGATTTCTGACAACCATTATTTGTCCACATTAACTAAATATTGTTAACGCTTTAAAGCCACAAGTAGCTTTATACGTTCTGGTCACAAGGATTTTGATGACGTGGTAATAAACCATACGCTTACACGCCTTTTTATTGTTTAACTATACCCGATTATTTAATATACGTGTATCAAGTGATATTCAAGCCTGTAATAACATTAGTAATGACAGAATACAAGAAAAAAGATGAAGACGCAGACGGAACAAAATATACTGAATAGATTAGTTGTAGCAGTGGCGGAAGAAAAATAAAAGAAAGAAAAGAAAACTGCTGATACTATACCTATTTGAGATCGTGACACATCTCTGAAGTAGTCAAAATTGCTCTCCGTTAGCCAGATCAAGTCCCCACCTTCTTGTTGACAGATTTGTTTAGCTTCAGACCAGGTTTTACACTCTGTGTGTAATTTGTAGCAAAAGTGGTCTTGATAATAAAACTGGTACCCAGTGGGACACGTAGGCTTGCCTGCTAAAGGATATTTATATTATTGAAAATAAAAAAATCGACCATCAGTTCCGTACTTTTGTTTAGTTTTGTTTTGTTTAGTGATGAAACGATCCCAATTAGGTTATTGTCTTTTTGCAACCAGACTTTAATAATGACTTTAATAATTTTGTGTCACTGGATATAAATAAATAATGCAATGCTCATTAAATGTTGTAAGGTGTCCAGGCTCGTACAAAAAGAGCGAAGCTTTAAGAATTTCTCTAGAAAACAAGTTTACGAATCAAAGCCAAAATTAATCCAAGAATTAAAAGTCCTATAAATGAAGTCAATCTGTTGTCCCATTACAATCAAAATGGAGGGCGATGACGCATGTCGCGACCTTCAAAGTTAAATTGTTAAATCAAAATATTCAGCTTGGATTTTTTTAATAAATTGTTAAATTCCGATAAATTTCTGCATGAGCACTAGTATTTTCCAGGGGGGGGGAATCACGTATGGTAATGATTCCTCTTTTATAAGAAAATTAAACGTTTACTATAACTGATTTCTGAATAAAGGTCAAACTATATGCAACGTTTCAATTACTGGTTGTTTATCAGGTCAAACAATTTTCTAAACATTACAATATGTAATGGAATAAAATAAATTTAAAACAATTAAATTACATATACATAAGGGTTTGAAGCCATTTTTCATTGCAAGATGGGCAATACATAGCCAGTATAAATGGAGAGATTCTGGGAAGACCCCAGTAAGAACCATCGATCCACGCTGCTGGCAAGCTTTCTCGCATACCCACATTGACCTAATCATAGGCTAGAACCCACGCAGAGGTGAGATGGCAGTGATCCGTAACGGCGAGCGCTTTAGACCATTCAGCCACTCGGGGCCTCCCTTTAAATGACGTCACACCGCTACTGTTTCATTTGTTTTGAAAGATAGCATGCACTAAACAGTAATGCAACCGAACTTTATCCAAACGTGAAATCAAATCTCAATTTTTCATAGTGGACATTTACAAAAACCGTCTGCTCACTTAAATTTGATCGAACGACATATATACATACTTATGCGTTATCAAATATGATCTATTCAGTTTATTTGCATTCATCAGTCCAGTAACAACGATCACCCCATAGATTTTGATTTGCCGATATATTACGCGTGGGCAAGTAAGGATACATGTTTTCATTTGGAACCAATATATACGCGAGTAGAGACGAAAGAAGATTTTGGTAATGTACTATTCAGGACATGTCGGTATGGGCTGGTACTCTGAAGAAATGACTAAGTGAATTTGGTAACAGTGATATCCCATTCTCAGCCCACATAGAAAGCTTGCCAGTAGCTTCTCGTGGGTCGGTGTTTTTTCCTCCGGGGTTTTCCCAGTGTTTCCGCACCATTAATACTGGCCGCCATGTATAGCGTATCTAATGCTGAAATATGGCGTTAAACCCAATAACAACAATTGATCAGCAAGTAAGTAAAGAATAGTATTTATAAAGAAATTCTAGTCAGTCTTGTTCGCAGACTTTGATGCTTTGTATAGCAATATTAAAATTACAGTTATTGCTTGTAAAAAATGTGGCATTTAGTGAACTTGGCAATTTAACAAACTAGTTTTTGCACCTGCTGTAGGCAAATAATATTTTTATCCAGTATGACCATGACTGGTGCTAAAATAAGGTACCAAGGCATGCATTGGCCATTAGTATGTTATGAATAAGCCACTTTTGTACATGTATTTAGGTAATAACTACTCCAGTAACAAAACATTACGATCCCCATAATGAATATTCGGAAATTAGTTCTGCTGACACGTTTTTCTGTTCGTCTTTGTGAATATTATGCCACTCTGCGATTTAGAGTTATTTGTCAGTTTTGTTTAAATCGTAAGCTTTTGAATACTTTGTAAACTTCCTGCAAATGTGTCTAGGCAAAACATACAAAATATTAAGACTTTGGTCATTATATTCTTACAATATAGACCGCCATATTAAGTCTGCCCGTATCCTTGTCTTTGCATACGACTACATGGTAAAACGATAGAAAAAGTGCTTAACCAGTGTAAATGTAATAGCAAAAGAAGAAGTGTCAGCATGTACCTTCCATATTTACCGTCTTTCTGTTCATGTTCCATTATATATTCAGGATTTGTGATAATCGCATCGAATGATCTTGAGCGAAGTACATTTTTCTAAAGTATGCAACTGCTAAACAGTTCGATAAGATTTGATAATTTGTTCCACATTTGAATCTGTCCACAAAATGCATTGGTTGATATGAAGCAAATTGAACATATATTTCATTTATGCGTACATACAATGTTTATTTAGAATAAGATTATCTCGGACCTTTTCATCTTTATAAGGGTGTTAAAAATGAAAGACCAACAATACCAGCCGATGTAAGCTTCCGCAGATAATATTTACAAACATACAAGATAGGAAACAAGCCAGGAAAAGTGAAGAGTTTGAGGCAAATAGTTTTATAGCATAATGTGAGGGATTACAGGTGAGCATGTACGATAATCGAATTATGGGACTGGGTCGATTGGTAAGAAACCAATATGGCAACCCCCATGACATAACAATGATGTTAGGAACATTCGCAGTATGCAAGACTCAATGAATGAAAAATACTCGTTGCCAAATCTTATCTCCGTGTGTTCAAATATTGCACGCAAATTGTCTATAGTAGCTCGTATAAATACCCTTTATTCTGCAAAAGGCACATTTGCACGTTTAAATGACTTGGTTTGAAGTTGACAGTTTACAATTTTCCGATTACGTCCTACACGACTATACCATATCCACCCTCCAAAAGAAGCCTCTTTGACTGCAACGTAGTATTTATCAGCATAAAATACTTACTGAATGTTGGAGATGCGGTGGTCTGCTTCAATTCATTAATTCTCTTTTCTAAGTTTGCAATTTTCGAATTCAAAGCTTTGCGTTGCTCTTCAGCAGCTGCTCTTCTTTTGTTCGCTTCCGGGCAATCTTCCATGGGATCGTCTAGCTGGACGACAGGTAGCGAGAACGCATCATCGAAAAACATATTCACGCTGCCACATATCAATGGATAATCATCAAGTCTTATGGTAGTTTTATTGCAAGTAGAGCTAACATACGAGACCCGCGTTAACAACTGATGAAACAGGATGAATGAACAGAATATATTCATCATTCTCATTTGTTAAATACGTACTAAAGCAATATGACGTTATCAGCAATGTTTATTCCCAGTACGTATTAACTAACGTAGAGAAAACTTTCGATTTAGGTACTCACATTGATCAGGAAGTCTTAAAAATATACACCCTCATGTCTATGAACATAGAAAATGGGCGAAACTGTTCTTCAACAGTACAGGAAACATATTCATATATATATACATATATAAAGATATGAGCGAAAACATAAACATGTTTCATTGCCGCGTGCAGTATTACCTGACGGTGAGTTAATTTAAGCTTTAGCTGTATGAAAATACCAACTACTGCACGAGCAAAGTGCTTGCAGTGAGAAACCCTAATTACCTAAGCTTCCCCAGCCTTGGCTTTAACCGGACACTTTACTGAGTAAATATGCCTATATTATCACAATACTGTCGAAGTAAAGTACGTGTGATATTATGATTTGGTTCTTTAACGTAGCTTTAATTTTTTCAGTCGTATCTTTAGGATGTCTGCAGTGTGGCAGTTTATGGTGATCTTTAACACAGGGGCATCATGCCGAAGACATGTAGCATCGTGCCCCACGCAGTCACATTATCCAACCAGTTCTAACACTAACTTTTTAACGCTGAGTGTCGAGCAGAGGCAGCCATTAGTACCATTTTTATAAGTCTTTGATATGACTTGACCGGGGTTTGAACCCGCGATCTCTCGCATCGGAGGCGGCGGACGCTCTAACCACTAGGCCACCTGAGCAATCAATCTAAGTAAAATACATGTTACATTAGTTTATATTATGAGAAAATCTTTCCAAAGTCTTGTATGAATGTTAGGCTCTTAAGCCATTTTGTACAACCGAAACAACTTCCCATCCATCCAGCTCTCATCCCCCCTTTCTAGGGCACTAGGAGGAAGTTATGTTTCAAATTAGTCTATTATATTATATATCCATAGTAAAGGAAATTTTCAAAAAAATAAATTTTAACTTCTGACACCCACTAACTTGACCCCACTCGAAATGCTGGAGCCTTAATACCATAAGCCATAAATTGGATTGAAAATCCATATTACATTGTCTATCCAGTTATGTGAATTGCCATTGAAGTTCTTAGCACATTGATAATGTTGTAATTGTTTAGAACCTAATATAACAAATGTTCGAATTTTCATGTCATTAAATAAATAAAATGAATTGGTATGAGAGCGTATTACAAAATGTATTATTTTAAAAATCTTTTCTGGAAAAGAAAAGATTTAAATTATTTTAATATTTATAAAAGTCTTTTGAAATCAACACTTAATATAAAATGTGTTTATTATATAATAAATAAACTTATTTTATTTATATAAAAAGCTAAACGTGTTTAGTGAATGTAAATACATGAAACTAATTTTTTGCCATTGGTAGGTAAATTGCACACAAATTTCCCGGTCCTTTCATACTGCATGATATATAAGGTGGCACATCAGGTCTATAAAGATTGAAATGAAGTCTTAATTTGTCTATCAACATTTTAAGCCTGTGATTGATTGAAAAGGTGTGTTTCGCGGAAAACGCGTGGAGCTACGTCATAATATAAGTACGTATCAAAAGAATATAGTATGTCATCACTCAAGTACTGAGCTTTTTCATAAAGGAAATAATAAACAGTGTCTTGTCCTTATATTGTTATTCAAAATCAAAACACTTAAAACATCTCACTTATCTTTTTATCTCTTATACCAAATTTTAAAACTTTCATCACAAACACCCACTCAAATATTCCCATGCAAATTTTTATAGTTTGTACCAGGGAAACTATATTTTCATTTCTATGTCATGATCTGGATTAGAATGACGATTGCACAAACACAGACTCAGACACACAGACACAAAGACAAGACTGATTAATATGACTTTTCTACTTGCCGTCCGATCCGTGAATTTGATTTTTTTTGTAGAGACAAGAGCACTTGGCAATGCAACGAATAAGTACATCGTTGTTAAGTTTCAAGTGATATCGCTCCTATGGCCTACTGGTAAGAGCTTCCGCCTCGGATGCGGGTAGTTTGAGTTCGACCCGGCCGAGTCATAACAACTTATAAAAATGGTGCTAACAGCTGCCTCGCTTGACGCTCAGCATTAAGAGGTTAGTGTCAGCACTGATTCGCCTGGTGACAGGATAGTGAAAGTGTCTGCGGCATGACACCCCAGTGCTATAAACTGTCACAATACAGCCAGATGATTGAAAAAATTGTCAAAGCTACGTTGCAAATCTAAATCACACACACACACACACATACACACACACACACACACACGTTTCCCATTAGAAATGACCTCTATCATGGGAATTCAAAAGCATTCTGTTGTCATAGGTCACGTAATATTATGCCTCATACATATATATATATATATATATATATATATATATATATATATATATATATATATATATATATAGATATCTATATATATATATATATAATGTTTGTTTTGTAAAAAAAGTCTTCGTTCCTGTTCAAAAACAATCAAAGGAAACCCACCTACATTTTGACAAGAAAAATAATGTCTTCACTACGAATAGAAAAATGTGATTGTGGTGTGGATTATCTCTCCAGACTTTTCAATATCAAATTGCACGAAACTGTCTATCTGTCTGGCTAACACAAGCACAAAAATAAATGTCATATATAACTGTCATAAAAAATTTCATCAATGTATGCATGTATATAAATTATCTTTAAAAGAGAGGCTTTGTTTTTTGTACATTTCAACATTATTAATACTTTGGTAGAGCCTGCTGTTAGATATTTTTATTGCAGACATTTGGGTTAGTTCTGGAAGTCTTCCATAAATTGTACCGCTTCCTAACAAAATTCATTCGTGTTGTGACACTTCAGTGATTATTTATTTAAAAGTTCTTGGTTATGGTTAAATGCAAGCTCAGAAAATTTAAGGTGTACGGGTTTCGCACTGCAGGCACTTTGCTCGTGCTGTTGTGGATGAACCGAACTCAGTACTTTGAACTAGCCAAGGTAAACATGAAACCAATGTCTTACTTCGTTCATATATAAGGCATGAACATTTCAGCACACAATATTCCATTATCCTTGTGTCCACGTATAGGCGAAGGACAATAGTGATCATTTTGCTGGCTGTTCATACGCACGTGGAAGTGCATTCTAAAATCTTGCTGATCCGTCAGGGTACCTAAATCGAACTAGCTTTATGAACGTCGATTGAATCGAGCAAAAATGATATTTTCACTGACTTTACTGATTCTGTTTCACCAGTCCTTTTGTCAGGTCGGCATTGGGGAAGACATTGCGAGTAAGTGCCCGACAAACAAAAGTGAAGCCGCTATTCATGAATACTGCCAGACAACGATTACAAAAATAGGAATTTTGGAAAAGAATGTTGGCAATATATTGGACTTGTTAGCCTCTGTCCAATTAGCCTTTGGTAAGCATACATTTTGTGTTAAATGATTGCTAAAACATGCTTGTATATGATACTAAAACTTGTAATCTTTTCTCGCGTATACGGCTTGTCCAAAATGTAGTTGTACGACATTCTGCTCCGCCCTCGCATAATGCACCAGCTGAGCAGAGTCTAACGAAGTGCATGAAACTAGTTCTACTTAAGAAACAAATGTATCGGATATGTCTGTTCATTGTGACTGCAGCTCTGGATCCGTGTTTGAAAATGGATCCGACTTGTGAGAATGGGTCGTAGTTCTAAATATTAGGATGATTTTTGAAAATGGGTCAAGTGCTGTATATTAGGGGTTAAACGGCATATACTCCTGACCGAGTATCAGTTTAAGTAAACGTTTTGATCACTTTATTTGCATTTGAGTAATTGGAATGACCTTTTGCAGGATGCCCTGTATGTCACAGTGGGTACGAGTATTATCAGCAAGACAAGTTTTGCTACAAGTTCTACAACGTTTGTCAAACCTGGTCAGAAGCCAGACAAGTCTGTCAGAATGAAGGCGGGGACTTGATCAGTCTAAATAACCGGAACCTTAATTTTTTCAATGAGTTGGCACTACACAAATCGGGTAAAGTATCAGCAGCAGTGTTTTATTTTCTAACCTTTTATTTTTATAGTTCTTGCTCTATTGACCGTAGTATTTTTGTTGATAAATTGTGCATTACATGATTAGGGTTTGAAATTGGCATATGCAGAGTGTATACAAGGGTTTAAGAGCACGTCATCAAAATTAGGATAGAGATCACAGTATCGTTAATATAGTAAGCTTTGTGGTCTTCTATTGTGTGCGCAAGCGAAATTTCTCGGCCATTCGTTTTTGTAAGGATATGTTGCAAACTCTTGTAAAATGGTATGCCTGTTTCTATTTTCTTAGTGATAATATATTTTTTCCGAGAGACTTCTGTGCTTCTCTTAATATTCGTACAAAATTCCAATTGAATAATGTATAACCCTAAAATGAGTTTCATTACTGGGTACTACTTAGCCTTGTTTGATCCTGTATGTTTGTTTAAAACCATTTCAGACAAAATGTATGTACTAGGCTACGTTCTTAGAAATATGGCAATATCCTCTTCATCACTGCAATGCGTTGAACATTTCTTCTGCTTTCTTGTGCTTTAGGCAGTTGTGATGACGTTTGGGTCGGTGCAACGGATGTTTCCTCGGAGGGACAGTGGAACTGGCTGAATGGTGATAAGGTTAGCTCGGATTTATGGGCAATCAATCAACCAGACAATTGGGACTCAATTGAACATTGTGGTGATCTGCACAAGAGATTTGATTACGAATTGAACGATGCAGATTGTAGCAGGAATAAACATTTTATTTGCCAGGTTGCTATCGGTTCCTTCTATCGGTTCCTTGACTAACAGTCGGATATGTCAATATGTCGCCAGCTTTTTGCTTGGAAGTGGCTAAAGATTTAGGCAATTAAAAAGTTGAAATATTTGCGTGTTGTGCATTTCTTTGAATATAGTAGAATTTCCAATCATTTTAACTATAGTAGCAACAGAAATAATGGGTGACACAACCTAAACTGTCGTTTCCTACCTTTCTAACTTCCGTCCTTCCTAACTGCTTTTCTAACTTCATTAGACAAGAAAAATGTACTTTGTTCCAGGTATATTCTTCCTGGAACGTTTTATAAACGTATGATAAACGCTACTACCATGTGATAGTATTCTTTTCAACTTTATTGCTATCGTTACCTTTTTGACACAAATAGTGATCAGCTTTTGCAACTGTATCTGGTTGCTGTTTTTGTAGAAAACTATTACTAAAGTCTTGAGTTAAACGTTTTGAAATGGAAATAATAGATTTTTATAATTAAAACCCACTCGTTGTTACGAATATGTGCTCATCAGCAAGTTCAGTAAACCTCAACATTCTTCCATCGAACTTGAAGTTTAACACATAAACGATAATATGAATTGAATTCTAAATCACAATATCTAGAGTTTCTAGTAAGTTTAAAAAATATTTAGTTGCACAAAACTATAGACAAGGGTTTGCTGCTTTTTAATTTATTGCAATATCGTTTTCTTGAAGACATTGCAAATTAAGATTAATGCAATCTAGGTATAATTTGCTAAATAGATTTTGTGTACTGTTTATTTTTGCAGATGTGAAACTGATTCATGCATTAAATAATGCAGCGATTACTAAACTTGCTGAAGAAGCAAGAGTTTCACGGCTGCAAATTGGTTAGCACGGCAGGCAATATGGCAAATTTATTTACCACCACCCAAAAAAATTCAGTATGCACATTTTG